AATTGTAAATTTTAAAGTTTCATCTTGTCCAAGTGCATCGTCACAAGCTTTACACACACAAAAGGTATTAGATTTATTTGTAGGTTTCGTACCAAGTACGATAATATCACTTGTAAACCTATGCTTTTGGAGACCACCTGTATGACATCGAGACATTTGTTAAGATATTTTATAAATTACGGCTTAATTGTCAATGGGTATGATAGTAATATACTGAATATTTTTTTATTATAGGACGAATTTTATTTGATATATGAGAAATTTCTCTACTAAATTCTGCGTTCTTATATACTTTATTGTTTAATATTCAAAAAGATTTAAAGCCGGTGTTGGCGTTTGAACTATGTACATATTTTTTAAATAGATATTTAATTAAAAATTTACTGACTATATATTGTTCTATATTATCTTTAATTAGTCCAAACGCCAACGATGCTTAAAATATTATCTCTTTATCTGTAGTTTTTATATACTATTACGTTTTCCAAGGATTGCAGAAGAGGAAACAATATACTACGATCTTATTTTAAGAAATTTCTATATTGTACTTATATTATGATTCAACTTTTTTTTTATAGCGACACATTACTGATGATCACGACCAAAGTTAAAGAATGATGTGCGTTGAACTCTAGCCATTAGTTTTGATTCAGTAAGTTTGAATGCTATTAGCTATTAATGATTAATGCAATAGTTTTATTACGGATCAGAATTCTTACTTACATTCTTATGTATTCAATTAAAAATTGGAAAGAAAGAACATTCCTTTAGAACTACTATCTTAAATAGAAGATTTTTGTTAGAATTGTGCCATTATTCATGCAAGTACCAAAAAGAGCACAATAGTACTGTATCTTTGCTTATGCCTAACGCTTTCAGAATTCTTGTTGTAAAAAAAGAAGATGATTCTTAAAATAATTCGGTTTTAAATTGGCTACATGAGATAAGAATTTACACCTGCTTTGAATTTGAGACTTTTTTAATTCTTAGAACTAACAAATTACATATAGGTGCGAAGTAATGCTTGTGAGCATTACGGCCTTTTAAAGACGGCATACATACGTACGTACGTACGTACGTCTTTAAAATAGCGCCATATAGATGCCCAAAAATAGCATGTATCTAATACAATATGCCTGCATAGCCGAGATAAGGAAATACTTAAATAATCTATACAGCCTTCGTACGTATGTATATGCATATTGTAACATAGTAAATTAGGTTAAGTGTAAATGCAAGGTTGCTTTAAAAATCTTAGGTTGGAAAATTGATCTTTTTGCATGAGCATACGTACTTGAATTAGTGTGCAGGTTAATTACAAAATTAAATAATGTGCAGATGGCGTTATTTCGCGCTTCGCTTATCCGGCATATTTAATCTGAAAGTAGGCTTTTTACTGCATTATAGTATTCAATTATTAGCATATGCTCACATAATTTTAGCCTATTCGACTATCTTATACACGTGTAAGATATCATTTGAGTGTGCGAGAGTGAAAATCAGGAAATAGAATTTATGATTGGTTAAATTTTATTTCCTGGTTTTCACTCTCACGCACTCATTTATTATGCCTCAAAATTAAAGCTATAGTTCTCGTTTAAATTCTAAATTATCATGAAAGAAATTAAAAAAAATAAATGTTTTTTTTTGAAATTTAACTATAGTAAAACAATAAATATAGCTTATATATGTTAAATAGTTTTTTATTGGAAGTCACTGGAAGTCATTGGAGGCTCCATCCAGCCAATAAAAATCTTCACCGGAACAGTCCAGTGAACATCCGATCACTGGAAGTAAATTTGCTTCCAATTCCATCCAGTTAAGTCCAATGGCCATCCAGTTCCAGTGATATCCACTGGAACGGTCCAGTGGACAACACTGATTTAACAACCTTCGAACATATCATAAAAGCTTATTTTCATGCCTTCTTGTAAACCGTCTATGGTGTAGAATTATTATACCTATACTGTGGAGTGATCCAGGTGTTCATTTTAATAAGAAAAATCTTGTACAAATATGTCTTTTAGCATTAAATACTGAAGAACAAGCTTTATTAATCCCTTTTAATATAACCCTTCCAAAAAATCTAAAACCATTATTTGAATATACAAGTTATATTACATCTGTTGATTTTCGTTATTTAATTCATGGAATCGAAAATTACTGCAATATATGTTACGAAAATCGAATAATCGCTATCGCATATTCTTTGGCTTTAATGTTTTTACGATCTAGTAGAAAACTTAAATGTTTAGATTTTAAAAGAAAAATTTATAATGAAGCTATATTTATAGAAAGGCTAAGTAAAAACACTTCTGTTGTCTCCCTAAAATTATGGGGTTGTAATCTTAAAGATGAAGTTTTAGCTAAAATTTTCAACAAAGGAATCAATCTGACTTCATTAAATCTTATTGGCAATCGATTTGGTCCTGAGACGGCTAAAGCATTAGTAAGGGCAAATAATACAACACTGGCTTCTTTAGATCTTACTAGAAATTACCTTTATTCTGAGGGTGGAAAAGCATTAGCGAAAGCACTCTACAAAAACACCACTATAACTTCATTAAATCTTGATTGGAATATGCTTGGTTGTGAAGGTGGAAAAGCGTTAGCGGAGGCTCTTTACATAAATACTACTCTGACTTCTTTAAGTCTTACTCGGAATGAAATTGGTTCTGAAGGTGGGAAAGCGTTAGCGAAGGCTCTATGCAAGAATTTAACTCTGACTTCTTTAAATCTTTTCAATAATAAACTTGGTTCTGATGGTGGGAAAGCATTAGCAGAAGCTCTATGCAAGAATTCAACTCTGACTTCTTTAAATCTATACCATAACGAACTTGGTTCTGAGGGTGGGAAAGCATTTGCAAAGGCTCTATATATAAACACTACTTTGATTTCTTTGGATATTCGCTATAATCAACTTGGTCTTGAGGGTGGGAAAGCGTTATCAGAATCTCTATGCAAGAATACAACTCTGACTTCTTTAAATCGTGGTAATCGATTTGGTCCTGAAATAGGGAAAGCATTAGCGAAAGCACTTTGTAAAAATACTACATTAACTTCTTTGTTTCTTTATGATAGTCGTTTTAGTTCTGATGACGGGAAAGCATTAGCAGAGGCTCTATGCAAGAATACAACTCTGACTTCTTTAAATCTTAACTCTAATCAACTTGACTCTGAAGTAGGGAAAGCATTAGCAGAGACCCTTTATACAAATACTACTTTAACTTGTTTAAATCTTTCCTATAATCAACTTGGTACTGAGGGTGCAAAAGCGTTAGCAGAGGCTCTGTGCAGTAATTCGACTCTGACTTCTTTAACTCTTGGCAGTAATCAGTTTGGTCCTGAAGTAGGGAAAGCGTTTGCAGATGCTCTATATATAAATACTACTTTGGCTTCTTTGGATCTTCACTATAATCAACTTGGTTTTGAGGGTGGGAAAGCGTTAGCAGAATCTCTATACCAAAATACAACTCTGACTTCTTTAAATCTTTACAGAAATGAACTTGATTCAGAGAATGGGAAGTATTTGCAGAGACTCTGTTTCAAGAATACGACTCTAACTTTTAATTTTAGCAATTGTCATTTGATCCTGAAGCGGGAAAAACATTAGCAAAGGCCCTTTATAATTAGCACTTTGATTTTCCTATAATTATGGTTCTGAATGTGGAAAATCGTTTGTAGGAGCCTTTTATATAAATATAACGTTGAGTTCTTTGGATTTTTTCTATAATTAACTTTGGTTCTGAGGGTGGGAATCATTAATGAAAGCACTTTATAATAACACTACTGCAGGTATGCGTTACTATACCTATAGTTGAAATCAAATTAATTTACTACAGTACCACATTGTCGCGTTATATTCAATAACATCATGTTGAATTTAACATAAAAAGGCATATTATGTTTATAAATATACAGTCAACCCTCACTATAATTACTCTAGTCATATTTTTATTAAATCCCAACTTGTTAAAAATATCTTTATAAACACAATCTTGTTGTTAATATAGCCAGATTGACAGTATATTGAAATGAAATTTATTATTTGTTTTCTCATTTGACTTTACGAAAATTTCAAAATGCCCGATTCCCAATTCAATTGATCATTAATTAAATTTAATACTTTCTGAATTTTAATAAAAAAACTCCTTAATTTTAAGCACTATGTTTGTAATTAGACTAATTATAGACACCATCTATCAAGGTAGAAAACGATACTTTTGCTTCACAAGCAGTACGTACGTACATAATCATATCACATGAAATCATGCAATTTCGCTAACCGTAACACTAACCCTAATTTAGGTTGATTGATTTAATTATGTGATGTGATGATCACAAAGATATTCCTACATTATTCTCGAAACTACCAAAATGCTGTACATACGTACATACTTCTATATCAGATATGGGTGATCTCTGTACCGAAACGGATTTTCAGGTTAAATACGAATATATCCGGATTGTGTACATAATAAAACTTCTTAAATGTTAATTCTAATGGCCCTTTTACGAATTCCGTGGAACGATCTATTGAGTTCAATTTCTGAAATTATAAGAATTCAAACTGATCTTACAAAGTGTTTTGGAAATTTACATTGTACAGTACTGCGGGTCGCCTTTGACATAATGAGTCAGAATGAACCTTTAAATCAACTCTTAATTTTGTTAGGAATCCTAAATAACGGAATAAGATTTGATCAGACGTATATACATACAAATAATAAAGTCTGATAAACATCTCGGAATATGTGTTCCTACGTACGAATTTAAATGTCAAGTTGTATGAATTTACTTTTTTTTTTTACAATTTTATTTTCCTATATAATATTTAATACCGCCGCTTTTCAAAACGGAATTTGAGAATATCAAAAAAAAAAAAAAAAGTACTAGTTAAAACATGTCTGGTAAGTTCAAATAGATATTGCAGTTATTATATGTAGTTGTAATCAGTAAACTTGAAGTCTCATAAAATTTGTTCAGATTTTCCAGAAAAAATGGCATCTTGTTATGCATTGCCATATGGCATATTTGGTTTTACTTGCTGGACTTTGTCATTATTATCAAATTTTTTTATTATATTTGGTAATTTACCACTGTTCACTCCATGGCTATGGCGTAAAGAGGTTTATGAATCACAGAGCATATACTTTGCTTTTATCGCATCTCTTATGACTATTGGGCCAGCCATTTATACATGTATACGTTGTCATGAAGAATGGATCTTAATAATTTTGGCTGTTGGGCAACTCTCTCCATGGGCATTTAAAATGATAAATGATGCCGAGGCATCTAAATCAAATTATTTAGATCGTGACTATTTTTACCTTGCATGTGGAATTCCTTTGACAATTTTACTATCTATTACTGGATGGACAGGTCTAATAGCATTAATTATTAAGTTAGAACATACGCAATATGCAGTTAATCATTTTATATTTATTTTACTTGCGTCATTCTTGTTTTTGATATGTATACCATATGTGAAAGGAGACTCTAAAAAGGCTATTAGATATATGATCTGTTACGTAGCTGCAACAACTCATCTTATAGGAACACATTATATACTTGGTAAAATTTCTGGAGATTTCTCTGGGCTTAAATCTTCAGGGGTTTTGTCTGCATTAATTTTCTTTGTTGGAAAGCGTCTATTATTTTTAGACATTTCATGTAATTGTTAACGGAAATCTCAATTTTTTTTTCGTTTACTGGCCCACAGGCCTGGGCATTGAATGAAGTTTTTTGCCTTTAATGCTAGTTTTTAAAAAAAATTTTTTTATTAATATTTATTGTATATTTAAAATATTTATAAAGACACAAATATCATACCACTCTTAAAAATTGCCTTCTTAAACCGAAATAATATGATTATGTTCCGCGTCGTTTTTCGATTTATTTTTGTTTTGAATAGATATGTCGTACGTCGGAATAGAATTAATGTAGATTTGGAATCCACCTAGGTTGATTCCGAATAAACATAGATTGTAAAAGAATTCTAAAATGTGCTCAAGTTATTAAAGAATTCGAATTTAACTTAAAACAAAATAAAATAAATTCCGAATTAATTTAGGGTATTGTTATTCGTACCCCTATTTTTATTATTCATACCCCCATGTAGATCAAAATTTTTTAAACTTTGAGCGATGGTATCTTGACACCACTAAGCCAAATTTGATGAATTCTTTTTTATTTGAATTATATGGATTCGTAGAATTCAAATAAAAAAAAATTTATCGAATTTGGTTTGTTGGGTGTCAAGATACCATCGCTCAAAGTTTTAAAAAAACTCAAACCGTATATCAAAACAAAAGCTGCGCCAAAATTTTCTCAAACTTTGAACGATGGTATCTTGACACTCACCAAACCAAATTCGATGATTTTTTTTTTTTATTTGAATTCTATGGATTCGTAGAATTTAAATAAAAAAAAATTCATCGAATTTGGCTTGGTGGTGTCAAAATACCATCGCTCAAAGTTTTAAAAAAACTCAAAACGTATATCAAAACAAGCTGCGCCAAAATTTTTCTCAAACTTTGCGCGAAGATATCTCGACAACCATCAAGTCAAATTCGATGAATTTTTTTTTATTTGAATTCTAAGAATCCATTGAATTCAAATAAAAAATCATTCATCGCATTTGACTTGATGGTTATTGAGATATCGTCGCGCAAAGTTTGAGAAAATTTTGGTGCAGCTTTTGTTTTGATATACGCTTTTGAGTTTTTTTAAAACTTTGAGCGATTGTATCTTGACACCCACCAAGCCAAATTCGATATATTTTTTTTTATTTGAATTCAATGGATTCGTAGAATTCAAATAAAAAAAAATTTATCGAAATTGACCTGATGGTTGTCAAGATATCTCGCGCAAAGTAGAGAAAATTTGGTTGTTTTGATATACATTTTGAGTTTTTTTAAAACTTTGAGCGATATTATCTTGACACCCACCAAGCCAAATTCGATGATTTTTTTTTATTTGAATTCTACGAATCCATAGAATTCAAATAAAAAAGAATTCATCGAATTTGGCTTGTGGATGTTGAGATACCATCGCTCAAAGTTTAAAAAATTTTGATCTACATGGGGGTACGAATAACAATACCCTTAATTTATTATAAGTTATTTTAGAATTTAAGTAGTTTCGAGGTAATGCTTTATTTATGTCATATTGCAAAGTATTACTTTAAAAACATTATGCGTTGTTTTTACATTTAAGATTACTAGAATAACAACTACTACCACAAGGCAAATTCATTTTTTTGCATTTACAGTGATTTTTTTCACAAGTATTTTTGCAATTGCACTTTACATTACCTACTTGCGATGATGATTGTGCAATAGATGCTTCATGAACACCTATAAAAGTTGAAGGAATATTATCTAATTCTGGAAATTTATCTGGATCTAAAGGAAGTAATTCATTCGTGCTATATGTAACTTTGATAATGCCAGACTTGTATCCAATTCTATATATATCATTTTCTAAAATCTCAAGAATCTTGCAAGAAAGTGTTTTCTAGTCACTATGAGTTCTATCAATTTCAGGAATTTTGAGGTGTACCAAACTTCCAACGTTGTAATTATCAAATAATCTTTTATTACATTTATTAAGCTGCAATTTCATATCATCGTGATATTGTTCAAGTGGCTTTGAAGCTATACTTAAATATAGTTTATGTACTAATATTTGTTTAACATTGGTTTTGTCTTGAAGAGTAGATTCTGGACATTTATCTAAAGAAGACTAAAGATAAAATATATGTAATAAATGTTAATTATTAAAATTTCAATTTATTAAAATGATGCTTAATTATCTGAATAACAGTAGTAGACAATTTATACCTTTTAGTTGGTCGAATTTCATGATTATCTTCCTCAGATAATTCTATCTGTTTTATAAAATATTATTATTATTATCATTATTATTATTATTTAATTATTATTTTTTTTATAACAATATAATATTAATACATACCCTCATTGCTTTCTTCATTTTTTTATTCACTCTTTTGTACACTATCCTCTCGTCAACATTTTCATCTGCATTTATCCTTTTATCATTCATATCTTTATTATCTATCTTTTTACTATCCATCCTCTTGTTATTATTAATCCTTTTATCATTCGCTCTTCTATCATCCACTCTTTTATTATTAACCCTTTCATTGTCTACTCTTTCAATATCTACTCTTCTATAAATCATCCCTTTAATATCATCTACATATTCATTATCATCTATTCTTTCATTGTCAACTCTTTGATTATTTATCCTTTTATTGTTGTTTACTATTTTATTATCTATCCTTTCATTATCTACTTGTAGTGCTTGTAGCAAGTGGGATAAAATAAGCCCCTTTAAAGTAGTGGGTAGTGCATGTGTTTGGGGATTAAACAAAAGAATGTTGTTAAAGGAGGTATGAGATTCGAAAGGTTTATTGTTGCTCTCTGCTGTGTTAAAGTCTGGTCACTAAGGTGTTTAGTAACTATTTTCGAGATTGAGAGGTGAACGATTTGGCTAATCGTTTGTGGATTGTGGCAAATAAGCCAGTGCGTAGCTGAGTCTGGGGCATTGCATGCAAAGCAGGTATTGGCTGAAAATATTTTAGGCATAATACT